GGTCTAGGGTTGCAAACTGCCAAGTGGGGCCTGGAGATCCCCCAGAATTACAACTGAAGTCTAGACAGCAAAGATTTGTTTCCCTGGAGAAAATGGCTGCTTTGATAGGTAGACTCTGTGGCATTATATCCAGCTGAGGCCTCTCTCTTTCCCAAACCCACCCCTCCTTACACTCAGGGCTATTTTGGGGCAGGAACACACAGGAACGGAGTTCCGGCTGGCTTCGGAGTTAACCACGCCAAAGCCTCTGCATGCGTGGCTACAGAGGGAAGGCCTGGAGAGCAACCCCCCCCCCCCCCGGCTCTGGAGCCGGCGAACAAGGGGGAGAGGGAAGGCCTGGAGAGCAAACCCCCCCCCAGCGACTCTGAAGCAGGCAGACTAGGGGGGGCCTGGAAGGATCAGGGAGGCATTTAAATGCCTCCCTGTGCCTTCCCCAGGCCGGCTTGTCCGGGCTCCCCACAGCCGCGGGGCGCCAAAGGCAAGTCAAGCGAAGACAGTTTAAACTGCCTTCCCTTCAAGGAAGGGCTTGCCTGGCCAAGGGAAAGCATGGAGGTGTGGCCTAATATGCCAATGAGCTGTACTGTCAGGGGTGTGGCCTGATATGCTAATGAGTTTCTGTTGTCGGGTGTGGCCTATTATGCTAATGAGTTCCTGCTGGGCTTTTTCTACAAAAAAGCCCTCCTTAGACTCCACCACAAAATCTCGAGGAATCCCCCAGCCTGGCACTGGCAACCTTTGTCGCCCTAAGGATCCTACCCTGAAAGGCCAACGTAGGCCTGGAAAGGGCCCTGCCCCCTGCCCCTGCCCTTTACTGACAGAACCAGTTACAAGCCCCCCACACACAAATGTTTTAATCTCTCACTGTTGATGTGGGCAGGGCCTGGAGTAGATCCCTGCAGTGGCCATTTCGAAAAGTATTGGGGAGGATTCAGTCTTTCCCAAGGGTGTTTTTTTTTAAAAAAACGTTTAAGATTTTTCTGCAGACCCACAGAGTCTCGTGAGTCTGTAGAAAAACCTGTTGGGGGAGAGTGTGCACGCAGAGGGGACTACTGAGAATTAGTATATAGATATAAATTAGTCATAATAATAATAATAATAAGAGATGAGCTAGTTAATCAGTATCCTTCTGTTTTGTAAAACCTTGAGAACATACTCTTGAAGGATTAATAATTCCACTAACATAGTATGATTGTCAACATCTTATGAAAAGGACATGGTTGCCATCAGTAAATTCAATATTTTCCACCAACTATAAATCAAGAAGGGTGTATGAGTAGGGAATTAAAACTACAAATCTTACACCTCAGTTTTCTGGGAGCTCAGGGAATTATATGACAGCCGCATACTCAAGGCCATAACAAATTCAGAAATTCTATAATTATAGCCATAACTTCTGTGGCCTCACAGCAGAGCAGAGCAATGATATTCTGGGGACTTCGTAAGTTTAGTTTTATATATAATTATTTAAAGTGAACATTCCTAGTAATTTTCCAGGGTTAAATGCGTGTATTTGAAACAACGGCAGTGCTCTTAGAATGCATATTCTTTTAGATACTACATTCAGCTTTAAATTGATCATCAGGGCCGGCCCACCTGCTAGATGAACTAGGCATTTGCCTAGAGTGCGAGGGGCCTTAAGGGCTCCCCCCCGTGCGCCCACCTAACCCGGCGGTGGGCCCTCTGCAAGGTGGTGCAGGCGCTGGGGAGGCCCTGCAGCGGGATGGCCCCCGGGGAGGGGGGAGGCAAGGGCTGGCCGACTTTCTCCTCCTCCTCCTCCGGCGTGCATCTGACCCACCTCGGCTAGGGGCTCTCCGCTCTGAGGGGAGACAGAGAGGGGCTCTTCTGGCCCCCCGCACATCTCTGCAGGCAGGCAGGCAAGCCGGGTCTCCCCCCCTACTCCCCGCGACGCCTGAGCAGATCTTGTGAAAGCGGCCCCTTCTGGGGCTGACCGGCAGCGGAGCTTGCAAAAAGGCAGCGAGGGAGGAGCGCCCCAGCGCGGCAGAATGAAGCCGGCAGACGGAGAAGGAGGTGGTGGTGGTGAAACCCCTCCCCCCCAGTGGCAGGCAAGGCGCTTGGCTGTCCAGTGATGCCCTTCTCCCTCCCCCTGCCATTGCCACTGCCACCACTGCAGAGGGGGCTGAGAGTTGATTCTTTGGAAAGTAAGGGAGCCCCTGCAGCCGAGGACAGCCGGGCTGCCCCCCCGCAAGCTCCGCACCCTCCACACCTTTGAGGGCTTCCCCTCCCCATGCCGCTGGCCGTGAGCACTGCAAGAACGGGCCAGGCTGGCGTGGGGGGGGGACCTCGGGGTCCCCCACTTCTATTTTTGCTTTTATTTTTGAAAATTGGTGGGCGCACGGGGTGGGGGGGTGCCAGAATGGATCCTTGCCTCGGGTGCAAAATAAGCTTGGGCCGGCCCTGTCGATCATAGTATGATAGGTGTGGAAACTATTAGGGGTGGAGCAAAAATAAAAATCCTTGCTGAAATATGTGAATAGGGGGGAAAGGGTGAGTGGCTGAAGAGGTAACGCCTTCAAATTGCAACCAACTTATGGCAACTTAAGTGGGGAGACTTGGAGTGCACACGTGCATGGCCCCCCACTTCTTCCCAAAAGCATTTAGAGGGACGCTTTCCATGCTCTGGGGGAGTAGCAGGGGGTGGCGTGTGCCTGCAATCCAAGCTGCAAATTTGCGGCTTGGAGCGTAGGCATCAGTCCCAATGTGATGACATCACCACTTTGTGATGTCATCACGTTGGGGCTGCCCTGCCCCCTGGAATTCCCCCCATATTCCCCTGCTGGCGGGGGACGCGGAGGGCCCTGACAGCCCTAGCCGCTCTGGAGAAATCTTTGGGTGATCGGAACAAAGTTTGAGTCCCGTGGCACCTTTAAGTCCGACAAAGTTTAATTCCAGGCATAAGATTTGGTGTGCAGGCACACTTCTTCAGAAAGATTGAAACAGATTTCCTTGAGCCTTATATATAGGTAGAGAGAGGGTGCTAGGAGTCAAGATGTATAAACGAGTGATAAATATAGCTAAGGTTGGATTAAAGCCGTTGGTAAGACCTGTGAATAGCAGCAAATTAGCATACAAATGAAGGAGCTGCGGTGGCTCAAGTGGTTAAGACGCTGAACTGCAGGCTGTGGAAGGTCGTTAGTTCAGCAGTTCGAGACCCGGGTGTGCCGCATGACGGAGTGAGCTCCCATCTCTAGTTCCAGGTCCTGCCAACCTAGCAGTTCGAAAGCAAGAAATTGCAAGTAGATAAATAGGTACCACTTCGGTGGGGAAGGTAACAGCGTTCCGTGCGCCTTGGTGTTTAGTCATGCCGGCCACATGACCACGGAAACATCTTCGGACAGCGCTGGCTTGACCGCCTAAATCTATCTTCGAGTACTGGAAAGTGGAAAGTGATAAAAATGGCTATACATGCACAAATGACGGACATTGGGATGAATGAGTGCTATTTGTTCCAGAGTTTTTTGCCACGGGTCCGATGCCCATCAAGCCGGGTCTTGTTCTCGGAATTAAAGTGTTGTAGACACTCTACCCTCTGAAAAACCACACATTTGAGCACTGGTGGTAGGGGTGCCAGCTCCGGGTTGGGAAATTACTGGAGATTTGAGGGCTGGAGCCAGTGGAGGGCGGGGGTTGGGGGAAGGGGAGGGATCTCAGCGGGGTATAATGCCACAGAGTCCATCTTCCCGAGCAGCCATCTTCTCCAGGTGGACTGATCTCTGCTGCCTGCAGATGAGTTGTAATCCCAGGAGATCCCCAGCCGCCACCTGGAGGTTGGCAACTCTAGTCGGTGGCGATTCAGTTCCCCGATCCAGGTCTTCTGCTGCTGAATGGTAAGTTCATTGCTAATGTGCTTTGTCTTTTAAGGTCAGGTATCGTTATCGTATAGGTACCACTTCAGTGGGAAGGTGACAGCGTTCCGTGCACCTTGGCGTTTAGTCATGCCGGCCACATGACCACGGGAACGTCTTCGGACAGCGCTGGCTCTTCGGCTTTGAAACGGAGATGAGCACCACAACCCTAGAGTCAGATTCAACTGTCTTTCGAGCAAGGGAACCTTTACCTTTTTGCTATCGTTATCGCTGCTTTTATTGGCAGATTTGTTTTCATATGATTTTAGACATGACATTCCATACGGTGCAATTGGTGCTGTTTTGTATTCAAACTGTGGTGCGATTATGTATTCAAAGTTTGGTTGCGTCATCCCCTTGAGCACTTTATCAAACTCTTGGTTTTGATGAACCAAATAAATAAATCAGCTCCATTCCCTGGTGTTATGAGAACACCCACAAAAGTTACGTGTAGAACAGTTAACGTTAGCATTTCTGCTCCTAAAACATGTCCAGTTAACATAACGGACTTCAATTTATGTTTACTTGGAGAAGTGTAATTTAGTGGGGCATACTTCTAAGTAAACCTGCATCGTTCTGGCTCCTTTGTCCCCTTATTTTCGATGAGAGTTTTTCAACACTGATTTAAACTGAATCGGGGCCACTGTCTAAATATGCAGCGCACATCTGAGCTTAACACTCCATAAACAGAATGCTTTAATCAATCTCTCCAACACCTCTGATTAATTTGAACTGCCTGTCTGTGCAAGGCATCAACGTGCTCCTGCTTTTGAACATCCATGGGTTAAGGGAGCACTACGCAGAACAAGACTGAACACATTTTATGTTAAGCCGGTAATAGCCGTCCTAATCTTCAGCAGCATTTTATTAATATCTCACAATTATGAAAATACCATGACATTTCCCTTTAATTGCCATCTGCTGAGAAATCCCAAGCTGCCTCCACCCCTTTAACATTTATAATAACCACACTTGCAGTGTGACAACCGTAAAGGAGGAAAGGGGGGAATACAATTAAATACAGTAGAAAAAAAGTCCACTGTTCTTTATGTTGCCTGGACTGTCTTTGAAACAGCACTGGAGGAAAGATCCGTCTGTACAGAAAGTGCTTACATGCAGTCGCCTATCAATGTCCATTCAGTATTTGCCCGAGAAATCACATATTCCTCTCAGAGTACAGCAGCACATTATCTCTCTGAAGGTCTTCCTCAGCTCTTGGCTCCGGAACGCATAGATGAGCGGATCGATGATCGAATTGCACATGATCAGGATGAGGTAGAGGTTGAAATGGGACATGAAGCAGATGCAGTATGGGTTGTGGGGACACGAGATGTAGAAGAGCAGGTGGAGAAAGAGCGGGGCCCAGCACACCACGAAAACCCCGATCAAGATGGTCAGGGTGACGGCCCCCTTCATGTTGGCCCCTTGGCGAATCGGGCCTGTCCCTGGGAGAACGGCAATCTTTTTAATGTGCAACCGGGCCAGCATGAACATGTGGACGTAGAGAGAAGCCATGAGGACTAGCATGGTGAAGAACATGCTGATGAGACAGATGATGACGATGCTGCTGTCCGAGTAAATAATGAACAGGACGCCGGAGATGGTGCAGGCGGCCCAGATGCAGGCGATGATGATCCCGACACGCCTCACCGTCATGATGTTGTGGTACTGGAGAGCATAAAATATAGTGAAATATCTATCCACGGCGATCGAGAGCAGGCTACAAATGGATGCCAGCAAGGAGCTGCAGATCACCGAGTCGATGATGTTGTCGATGCTGACGGTGAAGCCTTGCGCGTCGGCATCCAGGTTGTTCAGCAAAAAAAAAGTTTCCGAGCCGTTCGAGACACTCACTAGCATGTCGGCCACGGCCAAGCTGCAGATGAAAAAATACATCGGCGAATGCAGGTTCTTGTTCTTGGCGATGGCCGCGATCACCAGCAGGTTCTCTAACAAGCTGACAAAGCCTAAGGTGACGAACACTTCTGGAGAGACAAAAAGTTGCTCGTAGCACCCTTCTGACGTGTAGCCCTTCCCCGTCGACCTGTTCGTGCCTCCGCCGTGTAGTCCATAGCTGTGATTCCAGGAGGTTGGAGGCTGATGAACTCCATAGGGATATGTGAAGTTCATGGTGTAAAGCACTGGTCCAGAAGCAGGTGGCTCAGGCAGTGTTCTGCCAGCTTCTTGCTTGTTTAATCCACTGGTGCCTGGTTTTTTCTCCCTCCGGTGGTTCTTGGAGAGTTTCACTGGGTAGGCAGCTTTACAGCTAACCAGCAACTTGCAGTTCTGAACAGTAGCATGGTACGGAACGGCAGAAAATCATCCTCTGCTGTGTGAGACGCCGTGCTCTGTAGTCAGTGGGAGCTTACCCACTTCTACAGTCACCTGAACCTACTCGAGGATATAGCTGTATGCCATTTCTCTCTCGACAGCACCCAGGGTTTCAGACAATACGAGAACAACTTTTCCGCTATTCTCTGCAAGAGTTAGATCCACAAGATCGAAGCATCCCCTTCCCTGCTTCTGCGGCACAAGATAATTTCAGACTGTAAATATATACTTAGTCTCCCAGGCAGTGCCTGCTTGCTGCTGACTCTCGTACTGTGCTGTGGAGGAAAGGTAGTCACCGGCGGGCCCTGCCTCCAGGCTGATGATCAGCCAATAGGGAGAAAAGGGATGTGTGAGATGCTGAATGCATTTTGGAATTCTACCCAGCTTGCCAAGGAAGCTTCAGATGCCTCAGAGCATCCGAGAGCGAAACGAGATTCAATAGGCATATCAGCAGGATGTATTCACCTCGTCAGATTTCTTTGCTTCAGAGATTCTGTAGCATTATCGAGATCGTCTTCTCTTCCTTGAAGGTGCTGATCGGGCCTTGGAAAAATAAATCCTTAAACTATATAAAAGTTACAAGTTACTCCTTCCTTCCTTCCTTCCTTCCTTCCTTCCTTCCTTCCTTCCTTCCTTCCTTCCTTCCTTCCTTCCTGGTGCTGATCGGGCCTTGGAAAAATAAATCCTTAAACTATATAAAAGTTACAAGTTACTCCTTCCTTCCTTCCTTCCTTCCTTCCTTCCTTCCTTCCTTCCTTCCTTCCTTCCCTCTAATTAGGAATGCCAAGCTCACAATGAGTCATGCTGTGCTGTAGTAACCAGTCCTCAGTTTGCATCAGCCTCCTCTTTCTCACTGCTGTGTTCTCAAACAAGAAATCCCATTGCCCTGCTGTTTGCATCACGGATAGCTCGAGCTCAGTCCCAAAGACGGAAGATACAAAGCCACAAATGAAGGCTGAATATTCCAAACTGAGAAGCAGTGTTCCCTCTAAGATGAGTTGGTGTGAGCCAGCTCACAGTTTTTTTTAGCATCCGGCTCACACATTTTTGTCTTCGCTCAGGAAGGATGGCTCCAGAGCAAACTAATCGATGCAACAGCCAAATTGCTCATTCACATCTTAAATGCCAGTAGCTCACAAAGTATAATTTTTGTTCACAAGACTCCGCAGCTTAGAGGGAGAATTGCCAAGAAGTAATCCGTGTATGAATTTTAATGCTTCAGACTCAAATGATAAAGTTTAGATTTCATACTGATATTTCTGTTTTAAACTGATGGCAACGTAAAATTTATTAAACACATTTATTTATTTTTGGGGAGCATTTTTATCTCAGCTTTTCCCAGAACTGGAGATTGACATTCAAAGTTTGCTAGCTAATGCCTTATTAGTTTATCTGCAAATTAGAATAGATATTCTTTGAAAAAAGCTTTGCTTATTTTTTCCTGTAGTTTGATATGCCGGCTTTTATAAATTTCATTTTTTTTTTATTGTACAGCCTTTTCAAACCGATCCTCCAACTAAAAAGTAGCAAAAGTGACTTCTAATGTTAAAAACAAAATAAAAAGGTGCATGGTTGGTACAACCACTGATCCACCAGTTTCAACATTGCAGTTTGAGCTGGGACACAACACATACCAGTAATATATAACAATTGCACAAAACAATCTGAAATGGAAAATAATAGACTGGAGGGAAGAATATATATTTTGGTGGGTGCTTCTCAGAGTGATAAAATTTGTTGTAACTGAAATGCTTGCCGATCTCTCTCACAAGGCATATCTACTCTACAGCAACCATCACCATATCTAATTCTCAAAGTGGTCAGATCTGTGGATACTTAAATCCAAAGATGGGGGTCATGAACAGACAAGATGGAGCTTTCTATAAAACTGAAAAAAGCCCCAGGAGCGCAGAAAATCTTTTTAAAAATTGAAGCAGCACCTGCAGCTTTAAGAAGTGAATGCCCTCTTAATGACTGTTGCTAGGCAACCAAAAAGGGTATTACCAGCTTTCAAGGCTTGGTTTCTGTCGGTAAAATGTGGGTGGAGGGGGGCAGGTCTGTTCCAGGGCTGATTTGGCATTTGACGAAGCATTCATTGGGGCAGGCAACTTGGGCCAGGCCACATTGGGGCAGGCCACTTGCTACCACCCAGCTTGCAAGGGTCACCCAACCCTGTTTTCTTGCTATTGTTCAACAGCAGCCGCCTCATAAAAGTCAGAGTGTAGTCGTTACACTTTCAAACAAGGATCTGCAAAAGTCGGTTGGCTGATGGGAGGAAAAGAAAGAAGAGGAAGCAAACAAGGAAGAGACTATGGGGTAGGGTTCCCAAGTACTTATTATGATCCGGCAGGGGAAACATGTTCCCTGGCCGGACCATTCCTCCCTGTAACACACCATGCCATCATCAGGAAGTGATGCTGGGTGATGCTCTGGCAATGGGACTGAAAACTCAATGGTACCACCCCTAGTGACACACCCCTAATGTAGCCAATCCTCCAAGAGTTTACAGAGCTCTTCTTACAGGGGCTACTGTAAGCTCTTGGAGGATTGGCTACATTAGGGGTGTGTCGCCTAATATGCAAAGGAGTTCCTGCTATAAAAAGAGCCCCTTCGAGAGCAGATCCCTTGTCTCAAAGTTTCACTGAGGACAGGGAATGACGACTCAATCTGCTTCGTAGCTATGCTGTTCAGAAATGCATTGACATTCAGTAACATTACTTGATAAAACACAGGAATGCTTTGGGATTCTGATGTCTGATATAAATTATATGAGTCACCGGATGTGCAGACCAGAACAGGGCTTATGAATAACTGTCGAAGACAGGTAGATAACATCGTTAATCTACACTTACAGAAAGCCTGTGGTTGTTTTAATTTTTTTTAGGGCTAGGCCTAAATTACTCATTCTTTTTCATAAACATGAAAAAATACTTCAATTTTTCAGCAACTGTGTCAAATATTTCTGTGGCCCTCACTTGCTCAACAACTTTCATTTTTCCTCATGGAAAACTAAAACTGATTGGGGCATAGTGTCATCTTCTCTGTGATTCGTAATCGGCCTTCTCTCTCCGTTATCATTTGCCCTCACACAATATTGTCCAGACAAATATGATTTGCTGTGTAGCACTGTGACATCATGTCATAAAATACGGTGTCTACTCAAATAGAATCATCCAGGGTCATCTAGTCCAACCCCCTGCACAATGCAAGAAATTCACAAATACCTCCCCCTGTCAGGTTCCACAGCAAGTAACTCTTTACACACGTTTCCTGAGAAGCGTTATGCTTTATTAGAGTACAGAACCGGTACCATATCCACAGGATTATTGTTAGGAATAACTATAGGGCGGAAATATCCATACATATAGCCAGTCGAGGCGAATAGCTAAGCAAATGAACTTCGAGCACGCGCGCGGGAATTCTCCCAGCGGGAAGTTACATAATGAGTGGTAGATTCGCAGGGCCCCTGAGAGCAGAAAGATTCACACCAGTGGTGGACCACAAGCCCTCCCGTCCCCCAAAGGCCAGACTGATAAAGCCGCCTAGCCGAGCCAGCTCCCACGGTCTCCGAGACAATGTTTACTGCAAGCCGCTGAGCTGTGAGCAAGCGGGAACAGGGAAGGACAGAAGCAACGTAAAATGGCAGCTAGCTGACACACACACACACCGCACCTCCAGTGAACCCTATTCCATGCCCAGAAGATGACAAAAAACCTCCAGGATCTCCAGCCAAACTGTCTTGGAGAAAAACTGCTTCCTGACCCCAAAGTGGTGATCAGCATTTCTCTGGGTGTGTAAGAAAGAGCCACAAGAACTAAGCACTGAGGCAACCCTTCCTGCCCCCTCCCTTCTCATAATCTACCTAAGTTCACAGAATCAGCATTGCTGTCAGATGGCCATCTAGCCTCTGTTTGAAAACCTCCAAAGGAAAACCTCCAAAGAAGGAGAGCCCACCACCTCCCAGGGAAGCCTGCTCTAACTATCAGGAAGTTCTTCCTCATGTTTAGCCGAAAACTCTTCTGATTTAATTTCAACCCATTGGCTCTGGTCCAACCTTCTGGGGCAACAGGAAACAACTCTATACCATCCTCTATATGACAGCCCATCAAGAGAAGGGCTTTCCCCCCAGATATACCATCCCCTCCAAAAAAAGAGGTCATCTTAATTTTTCTTGCAAGCTACAGTTGTGACCAATAATACTAATCATTTTGGGTGCACCATGGTGCGGGTGTTTTACATTTAGGGCCATCTTCCTCTTGAGTAAATTAGAGTACATGTGATCTCTGTAGGGTTGCCAAGTCGCGGCGGGGGATCGCATGTCTTTGCAGAATCCCTGCCGTGGGGACGGCGAGACGCGTTGCACCTGCCGTCGCCAGGACATGACGCTACACGTCGCTCTGGCAACGGGGCTGTTTCAAAAGTCTATTATGTAACAGTAAAAACTATTTTAACATTTTTGAACATTTAATGACCAATAATGAAGAGTATAAAGTGATGGTAATTATGCTGCCTCTGTCAGAAAAGCGAGTGTGAGGACTAGATTAGAACTGGATCTTAGATGCAGAAGACTTTTGAATGTATCTCAGAGTGTACAATAGAGAGCTAGAAGAAAAGCCAAGAAGAGTAAGTAGTATTAGTGGGAAGAAGTTCAGCTTCTGTCATGTACTGCAGCCATGGAAACCACGTACGTATAAACCTAGAGTAGGTCTGAGATATAATAGCTGAGGTTAGGGAAGATGCTCAGCACATACAACCTTGCAGGGGTAACTTCTTGCTTGTCAACATCACATTTTGATTGG